AACTTATAAAATAAATGACTGAATATTTATGCCCCTGCAGGTTTTTACCCTTCGATGTCCTTCTCGGGTTTTAAGGTGTTGAGGACCCGACTGGTGATTGAAGCTGGGGGGAGGTGAAGGTAGATACCATGCACTTTGGGGTCATCATTCAACTTCAGCAACTCCTCTACAATCTACATGCATACATAAAGAGAACAAATAACAATCAGTGACACACATCTGAGAAATGTAGTGAAAAAATAGCAGACGAAACAAGTGTGAAAATATTGAAGAAATACCAAATACAATCAGGTACTTTATGTGGTAGTCTACAAAAAAGTCAAGAGAGAAACAAACAGCACATGCACCTTCAAAATCTAACAAAGCAGCACTACCTAATGAGCACAGGGAAAGTGGTAGTGGAAATCCCTGAGGAGGTGAAAAACAGGAGAAAGGGGGACGAGATAATGTGTAAAAGTAGAGCAGCTGAGTTCTCCTAAGGCCAGGCATGGCACACATAGATCATCCACTGTCAGGTCAAATGTCTAAGCTATTCCCATGAATTCCTTCTGTCTACATGGTTCAAGTGGCAGGCTCCAGCTGAATGAAGAGCCAAGAAGGTTCCCCAAATCTCAGTTACATAATGCTGGAAAATATCACTAGGTAGGATAAAACCTGATGATAAACTTAGATGATAAATGAAGAATAAACTGGAAATACTGAAGACCTGAACACACAGGCACCATAATCACATGCTGCACAAACATGAGAACGGTAATCATGTAGTGACTTACTAAACTTTGAGGGGGGAGGAAGAGTTCTCTATTAAGGGGAAAATTAACTTGTGAGTCACATCGACTTACATCATCTTCACTGCACTCCTTTACCAGACAAATCTGAGTGATGTTCAAACCAATCTGCGGACGAGGAGATAGGAGATCTTTTGTAGACATTACAAAATAACAAAATGGCCAAGCTGAAGAAGAGAAGTCAGAAAAAGGAGAAGTGGTGGCGTGGATTACCTTTACTGCCATTTTCTTATTGATCTCCAGCATGCTGTCGTCTTCACCTGCCTTTGAGATAAAATGAGCACACTGAAACAACGCACAGAACCCTGATAATATGGAAAAGCTAAGATGAAACTTCAGTAGAAACAGATACCCTCAAGGTCAGGAGAAGATTAAAGCAAATTAGGAGACTTCTAGCATCAAATGTTTAGGCTACGCTTTTTCTAAGCATTAACAACACTTACCGTAAGACTGCTTACTACAAAATAAGACGGTGTATTTGCACTCATTTTTTTGTTCTTTAACAGTATTCCCTTACAGTACCTGTAGAATGGCTAACAAGGGTTGAATTGCTGGGTTTCTTTTCTGCAGAGTCACAATTGCTTCTCTGGTGCTCTGAACCACTTTCCTACAAGAGAAGACAACCTGGTTAGAAATACCCATTAACCTATTAATGGGTACACGCAGGATAAAACACCCCCATCAGGAAAGTAGATAATACATAATTAAGTTCAAATATGTTCATTTATATAGCACCAATTCACAACAAAAACCATCTCAAGGTGCTGAATGCTGCAAGGTAAAGAAGCAGCATAACTATGGGGGGTTTATAACTACAGTGGCTTTGAGAATTCAGTGCAATGCAACAAGAAATCAGATGAAATGCGAGGAGGCGGCTCAGAAGAGAACGAACAATCGAACACATGAACACTGAGAAAGTACAGATAGTACACATACATGTGCTGAAACACTGAAAGCAGCACATGGTGTAACTAAATTTTCAAGCAATGTCTGCAGCAAACTATGGAGCTGATGAGAAGGTGGGAAGCAGTCAGGTGCTGTGTTTACTTTAATTCACAGACTAGCTTGTGAAATATGTGAGATAAGTATTGCTTAGGACCTATCAAGCCATCACTTTTTGTCTATTTGCAGGAATTTTCCTAATGAATTATGCATCAGGCTCTGTGGAGTAGAGTAGTAGTAATCCAAATATCAATAGTATCGAAACCAGAGCTTATATTGGTATTGGATCAACATTAATAAATTGTTGACCACTGCTCTCCCCTACATAAGATGCCTTTAAAAGTTAAATGTATCGGTATCAGTATTGGTATATGCAATATTGGCCCTACATTTACTTGGTATCGGATTGATACCAGAATTTGTGGTATGGAACAACCCATGGTCGTTTTCAGTGCGCATGCGGCAATATGCGGGCGGGCGGGGAAAAATGTTTACAAATACGTTAAAAGTCCAAAACTTTAAAGTTAAACTTTAACTGAATAAATCCTTTTTGCTAATTTTCTTCACACTCAATACAAGTGTTATAGATCTGATTGCATTTAAATGTTAGCAGCAAAACTAGTTAGCATCAGTCATCCACGCCTGCGTGTTTTTACTCGGTTCCTCATGTGTCGCATGTTTAGCAACAACAGAAAAGGGTTGCATCAGCTGGCTGGTGTCTCTGACACCCTAACCCGGGGACACGTGCAGAACTGGCTACTAGCCAGGGGCCAAAACGCCGGTGAGACCGGAAATGCTTACTACCTTTGTCACGTAGATAACCATCCCTCCAACGAACTTCATTTTTTTAGCTAGCCGTTAAAACAATTTGTCATGACACACCACAATCAGACTTTTACTCTACATTGTTGTTGCTGCTGTTGTTATTTTACCTCACATGGTTGTCGTAATCAGACTCATCCCCCTTCTGAGATTGTACCCCAAAGTTACCGGTTAACTTCGGGTTGGTGCCGGTGCTGGAGGTAGCGCTTGCCGCTCGGAGGCTCAATCGACTGCTGGTAATGCCTATCGGTAGGCATCTTCGCGAAAACCCGGTGAATCTGCTACCCGGACGGACCTGATGTGCCCGGAGACTCATGTAAGCACTGCGAATAAGCGCCAACTTCATTGTAGTTTTATGTTTAAAAAAATAAACAGGACTAAAAAGTGTTTCTTCTCCTTTCGTCTCTGGCGGCGGTGATTAGCCCGGTTCCTTGAAAGGAACAAAAAGAAAGTTGAGGTTGCAACAGGGTGCTGATGGAGGTGCGCTGTCTTCACGAGCAGTCGGAAAGATGAAAAACTAGCGGTCGGTGTGCTTTGTTTCCCCCCCATTCCCCCATCCTCCCACCAACAAATGGGCAATTCCCATAGAAAGAAAGGTCTTTTAAGACAACACATTGCGTTTAGGAGTGACATATGGATACCTTGTTGTTAGTGTGTATATGCCTCCGCAATATTTTGATTATCTAATAACGTGTGTAAACGCATTTGTTTCCTTCCTCCAAAGTCACTGGTAATATGAAAGACTGTTTGAATAAGACAATAAATGCTACATTTCTTGCAAGTCTAGATGCTGTTATTAAACCAGCATTTTAAAGTCATATGTTTTCATTTGAAAATCCGGGGTACACTTGAAAGCAGCAGCCTAACAAGAAGCGAATGCTCGCGACTACGCGAGTTCACGTGCTGAAGACCCTGAGAGGAGTTAGGTCATTGGGTTCAAAATACACCTCAGTCGGTAAGTTAACATATCCATCCAACCCAATGCAATAATGTAAGTGAGTAAAACTATATTTAGTCTCAGGCTCATTAAGAATCAACGTTTCACTCACTCAAACATACCTATTCACAGGAGGCCAAACAATCAGTATTAATAATCATTGCCTCAATTCATATGTCGTATTAGAATACTTTAAAACCAGGTTCCTTATCAGCAAACGCGTGTCAATATACTCCTAAACCAGAGCTGGCACTCTTCATTTAACAGCATGTGATAAATCAGGCTTCTATACACAGCGTGGGTTGGTGGCCTAAGTTGAACTGGTAAGTTTAGCGACATTCCTGTTCCCTATGATTGAAGCCTAAACCCTGATTTTATCTTGAAGTCATGTACCAATCGTGCAAATTTGATGTGTGTCCGAAAGACTGCAAGTAAGGGATTTGGCAGAATATTAAAGAAAACTAATGTATCTATATATAAAGAGAATGCGTCTAATCTAATAGAAATTCCAGTGAGACCGGGTTTGCCCTTGTTGTGCAATAATAGTTCAAAAGATGGCAATAAATATACTATAGATAAGAAACGGTTAATATCCATTTTACAGCAGGAATGTTCATCCAAGTTTAAAGTTCTTATCTATGCTCGTACACCCCTTCCTACATCAACTATCCAGATAAGAAAACATAGTTTGTCTATGTGTGATCAACAAGCACCTAAGCTGTGCTTAGTTGTGGTTGATTTTGGAGCCAAAAAATGAGGACAGTGCTACAAATGCCTCCAGCAGACTTGACCTCCTCAAAATAGTAAAACCGTCGCCAAATACAGGGGTTGATTTAAACCTAACTAAATTGCTAAGGGGCATAACTAAGTGTGTAGTAGTCAGAAGAATTTAAAAAAAGAAGAAGAAGCTACTAAAATCCAAACTTGTTTGTGCATGTAGTTGTGGAAGTCATTTGGGTGTGGCTAACACACAAACTGCACAGACCTTGTTCTGCCTACTCTCATAGTGTAGGCTGCCCTCCCCTGGTGGCCATGCAGATGAGCCGTGGCATCATTTTATTTTCCAGCCATTTAATTAATTAAATATTACAATCAAAATTTTAAAAAAGTAATTTAACTGTTTAAACTGTGCATTATCTAAATTTCTCGTACCCATGTCTGATCCAGAACCATTTTATTTCTTTTGATAATTTGGGATTTGTAACTGATGGGAAATCTCATTGTGACAGAGACTCAGAGGATCAGGGGCCAGGAGAAAAGCTGCTGATGGTGAATCAACCGGTGATTCACCAGATTGTGTGTGGAAACAGAGAAAGTCTGGTGTGTTGATTTAAAGTCTAGGTCCAAGTTTATGTTTACAAAGCTGTCCTACACAACTGACGCTCCTGTGGTGCAGGTCAAGGTTGAACTGATCTGTCTTCATTCCTAAAGTCACATGACTGTGACTGAGTGTCACAATTGTGCACCCTGACAAAAAGCACAGCAGATTTTCAGTTTTTACCTCACAGCCTGCAGCACTGGTAACACGTGGGACTGTTTTTTGTGCTCACAGTCCGGATTAGTAGACTTCAGATGATGGCCAAAGTTTGATTTGTAGAGATAAAGAGCAAACGGGTGAGGATCTTTCCTTTAATCTTGTCACTGTGTGCATGATTATTTGACCTTGTTGCATATGAAATGGTAACAGTGGGATTTTGTGGTTTGACAGAAAGTATGGGTAACTTATGAAATTACATGGTGATAGATACTGAGCACAGGAGGCAGTAATTTGTATGAGATGTAAGAAAAGATCAGATATGTCTAAGTTATCATTTCTTCTAAAACATTTGGGGTTTTTCTTAGATTTTATAGCGTTGGAACCATATATTTGTTGTGTAGCGCCAACGACTGAAATGCCTCTTAATGCTATCACAAGTGTACTTTATGCATTAGAAATATTTAGGCTGTTTATCCAAGATATAACTCTAACTTATATGCAGAATCTAAAGCTCGGTTTTTAAAGTCAAAATGAATCTCTCTTTGGTGAAAAGGAACATTGTTGACTACTCTTTGGATAACCTGTTAGGCCAGTGATTGGTGGTGGGTGGATTATACTTGAAGGAAGAAGGAAAACTATTTTCATCAGATATGAGAAGCAAGCAAGGTGCCAAGTGTGTTTAAATTCAAACATAAATGGTTCACCTACTTGAATGAATTAGCTTTACTAATGTTTGTTAAGTGAATAGAAAATCATCTTGACCTCTATAACCTTCACTTGATCTCCAGATCAGCCATGAGGGACAGACTGAGCCACCTGCAGGAAGTCTCCGGCGGCCCTGTGGAGCCAGTGGAGAATGCAGACTCCACTCTCTCCAAGTCCCTCAGCAAAGTCGACCTGGACAACAGCCCTGCTCTGGCAGAAATCTTTTCCCAGGCAGAAGGGATCCATAAAGACATCCAGCTCATCCGCCTGGAGGTTAAAAGGCTTCGTGAGCAGAGCTCCTGCATGTTCCATGGCACCTCTACTATTAAAAGGGACTCTATTGGAGCTGACATAAAGATGCGGGCTGAGAATGTTCTAGCACGCCTGCGTGACATGGATGGCATGGCGTGCAAGCTAGAAGAAAAACATGGTGCCAATTCTGCTGTGACGCGTATCGCCAGAACCCAGTACGCCTGCCTCAGTAATGGCTTTCGCGATGCGATGTTTGATTACAATGAGGCCGAGATGAGCCACCGTGAAAGCTGCAAAGCCCAGATCCAGAGGCAAATGGAGATAGTTGGGTGTGAGGTGACGGGAGAGGAGGTGGAGGAGATGATTGAGAAAGGTCAGTGGAACATCTTCAGCAATAACGTGGTGACTGAAGGCAGAACGGCACGTTCAGCTCTCTTCCAGGTTGAGAAACGTCACCAGGAGCTGCTGGACCTGGAGAGACGCATCAAGGGCATCCATGAGATATTCCTGGACATCGCCGTGCTGGTAGAGGAGCAGGGCAACATGCTGGACTCCATCCAGACCAACGTTCAGAAAACCGATGAGGGCGTGCAGGATGCTCTCTTCAAAATTGGCAGGGCCAAACGCCATGACCGCAACAACCCATTCAAAAGAATATTTAAAAAGACATAGCAGCTGAAGACACTTTTTGGTTTTTAAGCTGGCTCAGTCTCATCATGTGAGGGATTTGCTATTAAAGCTAATTTTGACTCCTCCCACATTCACAAAGTGTCACCACAGCGGATGCTTGATTTGGCAATTTTTTTTTTTTTAAATGTTTTGTTTTTTGTCGGATACGCTTCCTGTTGCAGCCCCAAGGGGATTTGTCTAATTTGTGTCTGATGTTTTTTGTTTTTTTTTAAACTGTGACTTTGAGAAATATTTTTTTCCAGTTTCAGAAAAGAGATAAAACTCAATAAAATATCTGCTGTAGCTGAAGAAAGGCTGAATTATTCTTCAATTATTTGTAGTCTGACTGAACTGTTAAACTTTGGCTGGTTTTCAGAAGCCTTTCATCCAGACCCCTGAAAGGGAGGCAATAATACAGCATTTTAACAGAGATTTAATTTTATATAGGTTATGCAGGGATTACACTACTTATGCACTAATCTGTTTTACTGTCTTTTAATTACTTTTTAATATTAAACGTTTTGTTTTATTCTTGTGTTCTGTGCCTTGTCTCTAAGTAAATATATTGAAATTTTTAACATATTTGTTTAAACATATAATCCACACAAGCTCATTTAAAAATTGACTAGATCTACTACACACATGAGAGAGCTGCTCCACATCGAAAGGAGCCAGCTGAGGTGGTTCGGGCATCTGACAAGGATGCCCCCTGGGCGCCTCCTGGATGAGGTGTTCCAGGCATGTCCCACCGGGAGGAGGCCCCGGGGCAGACCCAGGACACGCTGGACAGATTATATCTCTCGGCTGGCCTGGGAACGCCTTGGTATTCCCCCGGATAAGCTGGAGGAGGTGGCTGGGGAGAGGGAGGTCTGGGCCTCTTTGCTTAGGCTGCTGCCCCCGCGACCCGGCCCCGGACAAAGCGGATGAGGATGGATGGATGGATGGATGGATACTACACACATTTTACTTTAAGTCACTCTTAAAGAGGCAGACACACTGTTTGCTTTTTCAGGCATCTCTGAAACAGTAAAACCTTTAGTAAATACTGCCTATAGATTTACATTAATAAAGCACAACGATATTGTTTATTAGTTTCGTATGTTTATTAGTGTGTGTATATATAGTGCTTGAATGTCTGGAACCTAACCAACCTGTTAATGGACATAATTTATTGTGTGTTCTAGTCAAGGTACAGTGCAAGAAGCTGGTAAAACCACACAAGTCTGATCTCTCCTGCACAAACACAAGCCGGTACTGTGTAAGTCATTTGGGCGTGGCTGGGAAAATCTTGACGTGAGCTAAAATCAGCTCAGGCTTCACTCACTCATCTCGGAAACTGTCAGGTAGCCTACCGCGGCTTTTAGATATTATGGCAGTGGTTGGCCAAGTGTCGCCAATGCGTTTTTAAGCGCAACCCCCTTAAAAAAAGGTGACCTCGAAGGTTCCGTGCCAACAGTTTTGCTTAATTGTACAATAAGATAGACGCCAAGTTGCATTTGGCACTCGAGTGTTACACACCCGCTGCTCACACCTTGGCGTCACTGCAAACCAAACCGACCGGGCTTCATTCCTCAAGTCACATCTCATCGCAGTTGCATGGCGAGGCGCAGTTGGTCAACTTGACAAAAAAGAAATAACACAGTAAAATTCCAGCTTTAGTTCCAGATATAGCAGCGTTACGCGTGTAGGGCCCATTGTTGTGCTCACGGCCAGGAGCAGTCGACATCAGAGCAGGAGGATGCTGCTGAGGCACGGCGGCCACCTGACAGCAACGTACAAACTTTGATATCTGTGGACATAAAAGCGAAACAGGTGAGGATCCTTCCTTTTATTTTCACGAGATTATTTCATCTCGTTGCTCATGAACGGCGAAGGAAGATGAAGTTTAAGTTATGGCCCATCAGACAAATGAAAAGTGATTTTAAATTTGTTTTTGTTTGGGGTTTTTAGTAGTAAACGAGATTTATCGTAGTAGAAATGGACACTAGCGTGACATATACACAGCCTAAAACCATGTCCATACATTTGTGGAAAAACGTACACCTTTCTTCCACAATTGTTTAATTTTTATTATTTTTTTACTATTATCGTTGTTATTTTACATTTTTATTGTACTCTATGATACATTGTGCCCAAATCAAAATATTTCCTAGATTAAAAAAACTCGGATTATTGAAACAAGTTAAGTGTTGAATACATCTACCAACAAAACAACAACATGATGATAAGGACCACATGTATTTATTTATAATACACATTTAATCCACTAGATTGCATCTTAACTGGAAAATTGTATAAAGGCTGTTTTGATCAATGATATAGATTATCAGTTATTCTCAACTAGAAGCAGTGACAAAATCAGACAGGGCAATCAGGACGGGAAGGGTGTAGTGGCAGTGTCAGAAATGCCTTTAAATTATGTCACCACCGTCCCTTTTTCACACTATAAAGATCTTTTACTTAGACTGCTTCTCAGACTCTGACAAATAATTCTGTCTGTGAGATTTTAAAGTCAAAATGAATTTAGCTACAGAAAGATCCTAAGTTGAAGGAACTAGTTTGGTAGGAAGGAACACCTCTTACTATTCTTTAGAGAACCTGTTAGGCCAGTGATTGGTGCCGGGTGGATTATATGTAAAGGAAGAAGGAAAATATTTTTAACCTGGTATGAAACAGGTTAAAAGACAAGGTGTGAAGGTGTTTAATTATGAAAAAAAAAAAAAGGGGGGGGGGGGGTGTCTTGAGTTGCTTAGTGTTGCACTGTTGAGAAAGGCCCCTCTTTATTTAGTCAGCTTTACCATTGTATGTTAGACCAACAGCAATCAGAGAGAGAGAAAAGCATCTTGACCTCTAACCTTCACTTGTTCCCTAGACCAACCATGAGGGACAGACTAACTGACCTCCAGGAGCTGTCCAGCGGCCCCATGGAGCCAATGGAGTATGCGGAGTCCGTTGTCTCTGACTCCTTCAGTAACGTTGACCTGGAGGATGAGTTGCCTCATGAAGCAGTGGTGTTTAGCGACAACAGCCCTGCTCTGGGCGAAATCTTTACCCAGGCACAAGGTATCCACAAAGACATCCAGCTCATCCGGCTGGAGGTTAAGAGGCTTCGTGAGCAGAACTCCCGCATGTTCCAAGCCACCACCACCATGAGCACCATTAAAAAGGACTCTAACACTATTGGAGCTGATATCAAGGCGCGGGCTGAGGATGTGCTAGCACGTCTACATAAAATGGACGACATGACGCAGAAACTAGAAGAAACGCACGGCACAAATTCTGCTGTGACGCGTATCGCCAGAACCCAGTACGCCTGCCTCAGTAATGGCTTTCGCGATGCAATGTTTGACTACAATGAGGCCGAGATGAGCCACCGGGAAAGCTGCAAAGCCCAGATCCAGAGGCAAATGGAGATAATGGGGCACGAGGTGACGGGAGAGGAGGTGGAGGAGATGATTGAGAAAGGTCAGTGGAACATCTTCAACGACAACATCGTGACTGAAGGCAGAACGGCACGCTCGGCTCTGTCCCAGGTTGAGAAACGGCACCAGGAGCTGCTGGACCTGGAGAGCCGCATCAAGGGCATCCATGAGATATTCCTGGACATCGCCGTGCTGGTAGAGGAGCAGGGCCCCATGATGGACTCCATCCAGAACAACGTTCAGCAAACCGATGCTGTCATGCAGGATGTCCTCTTCAAACTTGGCAAGGCAAAACGCCACGACAGCAAGAACCCGTTTAGAAAGATGTTTTGCAGCTGTTTTCCGTGCGTCGACTAATCGGTACAACAGGATGACCCGGCAAAGACAATGTCAGCTAGTTCTTAGGATATTCAAAATGTTCGACGTGTCACGAAAATGTTAGTTTCACAATAATTTATCATCACGGTCTTTGTAGTTACTGCCTAATATTTTCTCAGAGAGTAAAATAAAGGTTTGAGGAAAAGGGTTCAAACTGCTTGGTTTAAATGTAAAAATTCTTGGGTTAAACTTCATAAAACTCTATTTATGTAATTCCTTGATTTTTAATGTCTGTAGTAAGGGTTTGAGACATAACCTGTGTCAAATAACAATGACCTAGGCACGATGCATACTTGAAAACAAACGGTACGTGAAGGTATTTTTCAGCTTGCTCAGGTTACACATTTACTAATAAGTAGCTTTCAGATATTTTTATACAATTTCTGAAAGTTCCATTAAAATAACCTTGAAGAAATGTTTGGTTTGTCACTACACATCTTAGCACTAATACCATGGATGTTGTGGTTGAAGTAAAACAGAGCGTACCGGTAACGAAGCAGTTTAACAGGGATATAATTTCTGCAGGGATTGTACTTGTGATGCACCATGCACACTACCTTATTTTGACTTCTGTATATTAAAATGTTTTTGTCTGTCTTATGTGATTTCTCTTACAAGTAAATATTAAATATATTAAATATAATATGCCTGGGTTTATTTTTTAAACATACAATTCACATTAACACTAATATTTTAGAAGGCCTGCTATGTTCTTACTCAAACACAGAAAACTGGAGAAAATCTGGACTTCCAGCTCAATGACAGCTGCTCTTTGTCATGATGCGTATAACGCCATTAACCAGTTGTTTAACCTGCACACAGGTGCCGTCACAAAACAAATAAAGCTGCTTATTACGTGTTTTTCAAGACGTCTAGTCAAATCCCTTTGTTTTCTTGTTTGTTTCCTTAAATTTTCATTAATTCTTGTTTTTGGGCATGTCATTTACCAGGAATGCCTTCTTACTTAATCCATTTGCTTGATTCGTGAGTTGAAACAGTACTTTAGGAGGTATTATGTGTCGCAGTGGGAAGGCTTAAGTGACTCACCTGTTAAGGGGCCGGCAATCACACACAATGCTGAAAAGAAAGTAGACGGCCAACTTCCTTCAGTAGATTAAACACATACTTGCTACAAAAATGTCAAATGAGACAAGCTGAAAGGATTTACTTACCTTTTCTGTAGCGTGGTGGCCGTTTAAAGAAGGTAAGATCATTTGATTTGTGAGTCTAATGATTTGGGTTTTTTCATAGGAAAAGTGTTGCCACCTGGAGGCAACTGGATAATTGATGGGACTTGCTGGCTATTTAGTTTGGGCTCCACTCTACAGGCAACTCAAGGGGAAGATATGATTTCTGAAGACTTGTTTAAGTCTTTTATTTTTAATTGAGACAACTTTTGAAGTGAATGTTGTTCATTCGAACGGTACGGAATAAGGAAATTGACTTTCTGAGCTTATGACAGGAACTTGAAAAGATACCTGCCATCCAAAAGCACTGCAACTTGTGGAGTTGACAGACCTAACGTAGAGAAAGTACTTGGATAAATGCAGAAACCACCATCCTATTGCAAAACCTCAATTTAAATGGAAAAGTCTGCTTTAAGGTGAGAAGGTCCTTGTTCCTGGTTTAAATTGAGAAATTCCTGTTGGTCACTTAGCTGTGACTGCTG